TCCATGTTTCATATATTTTAACCCATGTTTAGTTATCCTGTTGTCATTTTCAGTCAATTTGCAACTCGGTTTAATTATCATGTATATATATATTTTGGGTTTTTTAAGTTATTTTTCCATTATTATGTTCAACCAGTTAACAACTCCATTTTATTGTCATATTTAGGAATAACACCCTTATCTTGTTTTATATTTTCCCATATCTAGCTATCTGATTTTTTCCTAGTAAGTCTTTTGTCCCACTTCTCTGTTCCTGTCTTCTTCCTTTTATTTGTTTTAACATCTCCACTCCCATCGATTTTCCCCAGGCCACCCTCACAAAAGTATTTTATATTTCTCTTTGTTGGGGCATAGCCTCCTGCTTCAATTTTCCTTATGCCACTAACAACCTCCAAAACCACTTTTGTCTGATTTTTTATTCCCTTCTGTTGGGACACCTCCTCTTTTTCCTCTTTTTACAGTTTTCCCTATACCACTGCCAAGACTGGTTTTTTGTCTGCTTTTTATTTCCCTCCGTTTCTCCCCCTTCGATTTGTCCCCCTTCTTCTTTAGATTCTTCTTTAGAACTCTGCTTCCCTGGGTTCAGAATTCTATTTAGGCTTCATTTTAAAGATTTATGCATATTTTTTATAATTTCACGCAGTTATTCTAGTTCCCAGTTTTCAATGATGTCCAGTTCTAAGTTATAGTTAGTTATACAATCCTTGTTTCAGAGTTCTAATCCACCTTAAATTTATCTGCTTCAACTGCTATGGAAAAAAGCAATGGGAGCCATCTTAGTCTTTTGTTCTTCCTTAATATCCAGTTCCAAGATTGCATTTAGTTGTACAAATCTTATTTCAAAATTCTGGTCCACCTTAAGTTTAGTTGATCCAACTTCTTTGAAACTGGAAGAGAAGCTAATGCCATCTTAATCTTTTGCAGCAGAGACGAAAAAAAAAGGAAGAGAGAGGAGAAGAAAAAAAAAACCCTTAGTGTTTCCCAGGTCCAATATTTATTCTTTCCTTTAATAACTGCTCAAAATAAATCACTTGTTTTGTAATCAGCCAAAAGTTTTTCTTTGCCTCCTGCTGTCAGCATTCCAAATATCATGCAGAATTAAATCAGAGTCCAAGGCANGTGAGGGAAGCCCGCGGTCTCCACATGGAGTAAGTCTTGTCCTCCCTCAGCCATTGGTAACAGCTCCCAGGGACGCGCGGGCGGGAATGTGCTCGTTTCGAAGAAGAATATACGCTCCCAGGTGCTAGGAGAGCCTGGGCGGCTGGAGGCTTTTTCGTAACTTAAAAAAAATTGGGACTTTTTAAAAAAAAACCGGGACGCGGGACAAATTGTTCAAAAGCGGGACTGTCCCGCTGAAAGCGGGACGTCTGGTCACCTTAGCTATTACTATATTCCTTATTCCTACTTGTTTTGCATCATTAATGTAAAATTGTGAACATTTTTCTGTAGTGCTTAAGAGCTCCTCTCTTTTCCAAATAGATTGCCTTAACACTATAATTTACCTAATTGGATCAGAGTATACACATGTTGTTTCCTGTAAACTTTCTTACCTTTTTCCACCCAGCATTCATTTTAGATTTTAGGTCATTTACAATACTGTACCAATAGAAGAGAATATATGTAGCTTAGGGTTGAATGGTGGTGGTCTTTGTGCTCTCTGAGCTTGGCTGTTTACTTGCAGACATGTCATTACTAGAGTAGGTAATATCTTCAGTGCTAGAAGGGAGTGATAGAGTAAACCGTGCTCCCCTCTAGCACTGAAAAAGTTACCAAGTCTGGTAATGAAACATCTGCAAGCAAACAACCAAGCTCAGAGAACACCAAGGACTCCACAGTTATCACTGTATCCAGCTCAAGAAGTCTTGGGTGACGTCCTCAGAGTCCCTCCAAAACAGTGGTGGGTTCCGGATCCTGTTCCAACCAGTACGGTTGGAACGGGCCTGGCGTCACCCACATGAACGCATAGGGAACACGCGCACGGCATGCGCATGCGTCGTACTTGCCAGCGACGCCTCTGTGATGCTGCAGCTGATTGGTGGAGCATNTTGTGCTTGCTGTTGAACAAAGTGTATGAATGGATATAGTCAGGTAATCCTTGACTTAGAACCACCGTTGACACCCCCCCAAAAAATTTTATGTTGCTAAGTGAGGCAGTTGTTCATGTGTTTTGCCTCATTTTACAACCTTTCCTGCCACCATTGTTAAGTGAATCACTGTAGTTGTTAGTAACACGGTTATTAAGTGAATCTGGCTTCTGACTTTGTTTATCGGAAGGTTAAAAATATGATCACATGACCCTGGGACACTGCAACCATCATAAATATGAGTCAGTTGCCAAGTGTTCAAATTTTGATCACATGACCATGGGGATGTAGCCATGGTTACATGAAGAACGGTAATAAGGCACTTTTTTCCAGTCCCGTTGTGTAAACAGTCACTACATGAACTGTTGTAAGTCAAGGACTACCTTCACAGAATGAAGCAATGCTATGCAGCCTAGTCTCAGAGGTTTTTCAAACCTGGGAACTTTCAACTCCCATAATTCCTCATCCGGCACTTCTAGAGGAAAGGACAAAAGTGAAGTTGAACCAAGCATGATTAGATACAGGTTGTTGATAATGCCCAAAGGGCTCTTTTGTTTTGGTTTACTCCTTTAAGACATAAGCAATGCTATCCTGCCCAGTTGCTTGGGAAAAATAAACACCCAAATTCTTTTTTTAAAACTTAACAATTTTGGAAGCCAAATAAAAAATAGGTATGTGTATAGTGCACTTCATTTGCATATATCTGGATTTGATTGAAGGCTCACAGGAAAGCTGGTGATAGCAGAGTGGGGGGGAATATGAAAGAAAAAAGGGCCCTGAAGACAAGATCAGTAGGGCATCACATAGCCCACTAGGGCAGGAAGTTGCTTTCCATCCCCTCCCTCCCTTCAATTCCTGTCCGTTCTTCTTCCCCAGCTCAAACTGCCAGTCCCCAAAGGTTTGGAGGGCTCTCAATTGGAAGCTCCAACCCCATCTCACCAGCCCACCCAAGAGAGCAACTTGGATAGCAACCAAACCAGAGAGAAGATCAAACAGAAGATCAAGGAGGTGGAAGAGAAGCAGCCTGAGATGAAGTCAGGGTTCATGGCCTCCTTCCTGGATTTCCTGAAGTCAGGCAAGCGTCAGACGCTGCCTTCCACCGCCATCTCCTCGGCAGTGACAATTGGGGCTTCCAGTGCAGCGGGACCTGTGGTCTCTTCTGCAGGCAGTCCATCCAAGACGTCACACCCACCATCGGCTACGTCCTCCCAGCACCAACCTCCCTTTAGCATGGCACCACCAATGCTATCTGGTGGTTTGGATGGACCTGAAGGAGATGCAGCTGGGCTTGTCATGAGTTGTACCAGCCCCTGCAAACGGCTTGACGAGGAGCTGAAGCGTAACCTGGAGACATTGCCCTCATTCTCATCAGATGAGG